GCTTAAAACTCACGACAGGCGCGTGTGCGTGCGTGCCCAAGATCCCGAGAGGAGAATGGAGGAGAAGGGATTGCGGCGTGACCATCCCCCCTGGGGGGTGATTTCTCGCTTTCTGTCTCTATGTCTCTCTCTGTCTGTCTGGAGAGCGCACGCGCCCTACAGTGAAAATCTCTCAAAAAAAAAAAAAATGCATCATGACTCGGGACCAGCAGATGGCATAATGGCTATGTCGCTGGACTCCCATGTAGTCGACCATGGTTTGGGTCCCAGACCCGGTGGCTTAAACTCATACCAGGTACATGCGCATGTGTGCTCAGTAACCTGAGAGGAGAATGGAGGAGAAAGGATTGTGGCATGGCCATCCCCCTTGGGGGGTGATTTCTCACTTTCTGTCTCTCAGTCTCTTTCTGTCTTTCTGGTGAGCGCACACGCCCTATAGTAAAAAAAAGCCTCTTCAAAAAAAAAAAAAAAAAAAAAAGCATCCTGACCTTCCCAACAATCCAATAGAAATAAACACCCTCTAAAGCCATGGTCCAAACACAACCTCTACTAACAATTTTAGCCATTTCTACCAAGACTTTTTCAATGCATGGAGTTCAAATCATGCTACTTAGGTAGTTTCATATCTATTTTTTTCATTTGACATACTCTACAAAAGTACCTTCTGGGATTTTGATTGGAAAAGTGTCGCCTCTGTAGATCAATTTAGGGAGAAAATCTTCTGTCGGACTAAACCCTTAGTATCTCACGTTATTTGATGCTGTTGTACATGGCATTCTTTAAGAAATGCTGGTATGCATAAGCGCATGACTTGTATATTAATGTATCTTGCAGCCTTGCCAAACTCATTTACATGACAGTTGTGTAGATTGTCAGATTTTCTATAGAGATGATCATGTTTTCTGAGAATAAAGCTTTACATCTTCCTATCCAATTTAGATGCCCAGTATTTCTTGACTAATTGCAGTGGCTAGAACTTCTGGTACAATGTTGAACAGCAGTAGTAAGACTGGAAGTGCAGGCCAACAGGTTGGCATGGTAGTTAAGGGGCTAGATCCTCCGTGGCTGACTCCATGGTTCAAGTCCCAGACCTGGTGGCTTGAGAATCACTCTAGATATGTGTATATATGTGCCCAAAATCCTGAGAGGAAAGTGAAGAGATTAGGGCATGGCCATTGCCTAAGTACTGCTTTTCACCAGTTTTGATACGTTGTTCTCATTTTCATTCCATTCAGAATACTTTCTAACTTCCCTTTGATTTATTCTTTAACTCAGAGGTTATTTAAAACTGTGTTACTTAATCCCACTCTCTTGGGGATTATTCAGAGTTTTGCTATGATACATAATTTCCTTTCATTTGTTCAAAGAACATACTTGAATCCTTTTACACTTTATGAGATTTGGTTTATGACTAAGACTATGGCCTGTATCGGTAAATGTCTATGTGTACTTGAAAAGAATTTGTATTCTGATCTTATAGAGTATAATGTCCTATAAGTATCAGGTACCTCAAATTGATTGTGATGATCAAATCTTCTTACATCCTTAATGAGTTTCTATTTACTCTATCCATTATTGAGAAAGAAGTATTAAAATCTCTATCATTGTTAATTTGCCTATTTCTCTTTGTAATTCTCTTAGTTTTTACACACACACACACACACACACACACACATATATATATACATATACTTTTTTTGGTGGGGGAGAGATTTTTGATCTAGGGCACCTGTACTTGTTGGAGAGAAAGTGAGAAATCACTCCCCACCCCAGGGGTTGGCTACACCACAGTCCCTTCTCCTCCGCTCTCCTCTCAGGATTTTGGGCATGCATACATACATGCCTCACTTGAGTTTCAAGTTGCTGGGTATCTAGGATTCAAACCAAGGTTGAACATGTGGGAGTCCAGTGCCTTAACCACTACACCATCTGGTGGCCCTCCCCTCCTCCTCTTTGTTTTGCCAAGAGTGTATGCACTGGCCAGAGGGAAACAAGAAAGGATTGCCCAGTGAGGCGTGATCATGCTACACTCCCTTTCCCCCCTTCTCTTCAGCCTGTTGGGATTTGGGACATGCATACACATGTGCCTGCTGTATGTCTCAAGCCACCTGAGCCAAGATTTGAATCGCAGTTGGCCACGTGGGATCCAGCTCCTTTAACCACTAGGCCACAGAGCTGACCCTTACTCTCTTTTTAGTTTTCTTAGAAGGGGAAAAAGGTATTTTTGACAGGGTCTTGGATGTGGAGTTCTCCTGCCCTTATGTCCCAGTTAGCTAGTCGTAGAGGCATGCACTACTGTGCCTGCCTGTTCAGGTCGGCCCAGGGACTGAAACCGAAGCCTACTGTATGTCTCAGGCTCAGGTAGCAGAACCTTCTCACTTGCCCCACTGTGGCTGGGCCTCTTCCTGTATTTTAAAGCTCTGTTACTGGGTGCATAAATGCATAGGAGTGTTTTCTTTTTGATTAACTGACTCCTCTATTATGAGAAAATATTAACAGTGTACTAAAGGGTTTATAACATTAATGAGAATAACAACATCAGAAGGAGAGAAATGAAGACAGTTTCTTAGACATCTTTTCACCATAGATTTCCGTTTTCTTCCTCACCAGATGATTTACCTAAAATGTTATTTAACTAATTCTCCTTCCACTCACCTCCCCAACCCCCCTTTCAGGTGAAGCAGTATACATAATCTGCTTAATTTTTTTTTTAGGAAAGTAGTCCTTAAGGCTACCCAGGAAAAAAGCACCTCCCATGGCCTTGTCCTTCCCACCTCTTCAGTAGCTTTTTGTCTACATCTTCTGTTGAGATGGCCATTGAGGAGGAGGAAGAAAGGGGTTTTGTTGTAACTCGTTCAGGCCTTTCCTTTGAGGAAGTGGGAAGCGAGTGGTTTCTTAGTTGTCTTGATAATGGTTTTGTGGGAGTCAGACTTCCCTAAGTGGCCTGGTAATGCTTGCTTTTCAATGTTCTTGCTTCTTCCCAGGAGCCAGCACCGCTGTTTGACCTCGCCATGCTCGCCTTAGACAGTCCTGAGAGCGGCTGGACAGAGGAAGATGGCCCCAAAGAAGGACTTGCTGAGTACATTGTCGAGTTTCTGAAGAAGAAGGCCGAGATGCTGGCAGACTATTTCTCTTTGGAGATTGATGAGGTAGAATGGCCATTCTTAGACCTCTGTTGTATCCTTCACAAAGAAGTCCTAGGATGAGGACTGGAAGGCTGGTGGTCTTCTTGTAGAAGCAGGATTTGACACATATGACATCCATGGTCTCCACTCCCTTTTGCATTTCTGGGTAACACAGCTGTATCACCTCCATTGGTGCCCATCTCTGTTTCCAGGGTGGACCCACACACACGAGACCTAACTTCCACAGTGCCTGCCAGCCATCGTAAATGGGATTATGCTATTTGTTCCCTCAGTTCTTCCTCTTACCTGTTGATCCCTGGGGCTTTCCATCTTGATGTGCTGTTTGGTTGATGAGAAGAGGTTGTTCTGCTGCATATCTGGACAAAAAGCCCTTTAAGTGCTTAACTGTTCTGTCCCCAGTGTCCAGCCCAGTCAGGTACCTGGTCACCCAGACTGGCAGATATGAGGACAGGGTAGCAGATATGAGGATGAGGCCTGGAGGAGCACTGGAGACATGGAATTTAATTAAACTATAGCAGCATTTGTTCTCTTGTCCTCTCGTGCTGGCCTCTTTCCACAAGCAGGAAGGAAACCTAACAGGACTGCCCCTTCTGATTGACAACTATGTGCCCCCTTTGGAGGGACTGCCTATCTTCATCCTTCGCCTGGCCACAGAGGTGAGTGACCAGCCAAGCACATGCATGCACATGGGAGGGAAAGGGCCTGTGACCACACCTTCATTTGTCAAGAACCAGTGACAGTTAACACAGTGGAAGGCCCCCTTTTATCCACACTAATGTTCATTCCTAGTGTTACTCAGTTCCAAGTCATGGTTTTTAATGCCCCCTCCCCCCCAGTCACACTGAAGTCATTATGATCTCCAGTTAGAAATGAAAATGCATTGGAGCCAGCAGGTGGCATGGTGTTAAAGCACCTGGAACCCACATGGCCAGCTCATGGTTTGAGTCCCAGACCTGGTGGCCTGAAGAACACACTAGGCATGTATGTGTGCATGCCCCAAATCCCAGGAGACTGGAAGAGAAAGGATTGTGCAAAAAAAAATGAATAAGAAAGGTATTTAAACCACTGAGGTATTGAATTGTTTGGACCAGGTGAACTGGGATGAAGAAAAGGAGTGTTTTGAAAGCCTCAGTAAAGAATGTGCTATGTTCTACTCCGTCCGGAAGCAGTATATATCTGAGGAGTCGACACTTTCAGCCCAGCAGGTACTGTGTAAAACACTGTGGGCACCGCAGGACGGCGACAGTCCCTCCACAACCTTTATGAGAGGACACTTGCCTGGGGTTTCACTGTATATCACAAGGTTTAAACACAGTGATCACCTTTCATTCCGTTTTTATTTCCTTCTCAGAATGTCCCTCCAAAGTGATCTCAGAAACTGGCACGTGTTAAAACAAGCATCACAGTGAGAAACAGGAGACTGAAGGACTGCCCGAGGCTGCTGGGCCAGTATCCCCACCGTTAGCCCTCCAGCACGCAGCCAGCCTTGAGACTGGGTCGGCCTCCTGTCTTTGCCTTTGCCTTACACTCAACCACTGCCTTCCCAGGGAAACAGGGCTCTGTAACTCCTCTTACGGTTTGATGCAGGAGTCTGGGTTCCTAATGTTTCACTTTCACTTTTTTCCAGTCAGATGGCAATTCTTTTTAGTCCACACGTACTTCAGAGAAGGGAGCTGAGATAGTGTAAGACTCAAATGGGAGCCATGAATCCATACCCATCCCATGACTGCTTACCGTTCTCCGAGGTGAGGCGGTCTGCTCATTTCACAGTGAGAAACGAGGACAGCCGGAAGCTCGGGGACTCCCAGATCATGCGGTGGTGGAGCAGAGGTGTAGTCCTAAGACCTGGTGACCAAGGCCCTTAGGGAACTTCACGCCAGTAAGAAGGCAGTGCAGCACTCTTCCCAAACTGGGCCGAGAGTACCTCATTGGATTGGAAAAAATTCACCTCAGGGAAAATCTCAAGGACAGACGAGAAAACATTTTCATGTACATGAGACAGGATAGGCAGAAAACTTGGAGGGGAATGAGGAAGCACAGTAACCTTCACACATTTCATTTTCTGACCTTTGGTACTTCTTAAAAAACTACTTGAAGACCCCTGAATTCAGTTTGGAATAGGGCAGAGTCCCTGCTGTTACCATCCACATGTCGGGCAGGATAAGACATTCTGTTCGATCCTGCTGCCATAAGTACCTTCCCCGTGAATGGAGACGAGAGGTCCACAGGAGACAGTCTTGTGTGAGCAGTCGCTTCTTTTCCCCTTTCTGTCCTGTGTTCAGGCCTACAGAATCCCTGAGGCCCCTTCACAGCCAATAACAAGCCACCAAGATTCCCTAGGCCCAGAGTACATCTGATCATCCGGGAAGCCAGTATGCACTGCGATGTGGGATGGGGAGGCTTGTGACAGCTACCTTGTATTTTCCAGAATGAAGTGCCTGGCTCTGCTCCGAACTCCTGGAAGTGGGCTGTGGAACACATTGTCTATAAGGCCTTCCGCTCACACCTTCTGCCTCCCAAACAGTTCACAGAAGATGGCAGTATCTTGCAGCTCGCTAATCTACCCGACCTCTACAAAGTCTTCGAGAGATGTTAAATACGGTCACTTGCGGACTCTGGGGCATGTGGTTCTTTCTAGTGTCCCTATGTTGGTAGGAGTGAAGACGAAAGACTCAACTTTGCCTTCTCACTAGTCCTCCTTGATGCACAGTGGATTGACTATAAATAAATGATCAGGTATGTCTTACTGTGATTTCTTATGTAATTTCATTATATTTAAAACTTTTAAAAAATTATTTATTTTACTTATTATTATTATTTTAAATACTTATCCAGTGCATAACCAATATGAGTTTTTAAACTGGCCCAAATGGCTATGAATACTACCAAATTAGGATGAAGAAATTTCTAGGTATTCTTATCTGAAGGACGATGTAAAAATACGAACTTAAACTGTAAGTGCCAAGATATGCCACATTAAGAGAAGCACAGCATTCAGCACAGGGAGGAAGAGTATGTACAGCTTTAAAGTCAAGTCCAATGACAAGACTCCAGTGGGAAAAAACACAATATTCTAAGCTGAAATGGAGCCATTTCACTGGGAAAGACAGACAACAGAATGGAAGAGACACATAAGGGCAGGTCAGTTTATAACAGGACTCACGGCATTTCAATTGATGTTCCAGGAACCTGAGAGGGGCACAGAGTCATGACCTTGAGTGGCAAAGAGGGGTTTCTGAGGCCTCAAGTGCTGGACCACAGAGTGTGTTAGTTCCAGCTGGGGAACTTTAGGCTAAATCCACATTTTAGAACATCCTCTCTCTCTCTCTTTTTTTTTTTTTTTTTGTAGAGGTTTTTGCTATAGGGCATGTGCACTCGCCAAAAAGAGACAGACTGACAGAAAGTGAGAAATCACTCCCCGGGGGGGTGACCACACTGCAATCCCGTCTCCATTCTCCTCTCGGGATCTTGGGCACGCATGCACATGTGCCCAGCATGAATTTAAGCCACCAGGTCCGGGACTTGAACCGCCGTCAACTACATGGGAGTTCAGTGACATAGCCATTACGCCAACTGCTGGTCCCTTCAAACATTCTCATATTCATCCCTGACCACATAACCTGTTGTTATTAGAAAATTTATAAGAAATCACCTTGGATCCTTTAGTGGTTCATATGTGTGATTGGGTGTTCATGCCACTGTGTGATATGCGTCTCCTGTGAGCCTCGTCACAACGTCAGCAGAGTACCCATGTGACATGACAAAAGAAGAAAAGAAAAAAAAAAAGGAATCCTCTTAATTCGGAAAATTTGTTTTCACGTTTTGTAAAAAGGAAGGGCTGGCCTGTCCACACTCTATGGTAGAGACTCAAAGACTGGAGGACATAAACGTTAAAAATAGTTGTGGGCACTAGAGACAAAGTGGAAGGAGAGTGTGGGAGGGGAAGAGTGCAGGAAAGGAAATTAGGGGGGAAATAAGGAGAGAAGATATTTGTGGGACACAGATATGGTTGGTTATTTCTGGATGAGAATGTGTATAGTATTCTCAACTGGACTGAGGTGTATCATGCTGGGTACAATCTCTTTACAATCTAAATGATGTATATAGCGATTGAATGTATAAATAATAAAAATATAAAATATTTCAAAAAATGAAGGGCTAATTACGCTAAATGAAGGAATAATTATTAGATATTTTATTTACTTTTGGGTTAACTTTATTATCTAGTTTCAAGTTTTTTTTAATCTTACGTGCCTTGATTCATTAGGTTTTCCCCAATATATGTTCCGTGTAAACACTCTGAAGAAACAGTAATCATTTCCATGAAACCACCTTGACTGCGAACAAGAGAGAATCGCAAATCGTGTAAAGCAGCTGTACTAGATGTTAAAAATTCTCCAGAACTGGGTACCTTTAAAGATGAGACCAAAGTCCTTAAAAAGAAAAGGTTCTACATTCCAGATTCTTCTTCCCTCAGGAGGAGAGGAGAAGAGCAAGTAGGAGGGACAAGGATGCCATGATTTTTGTTTGAAAGACTCCTGTGACAAAATGAATGTGTCGTAACCAGCTGTGGTTGGCAGAAGGGTGTATTTAATAGAAAGTTCAGGCAGATTTTTCGCCTGCCTGCCCCGTGCCTCCCCTTCCCCTTTGGGCTTGTGTGAGGTTTTATTCCATGAGTAAGCAGCAGATAAAATACTTTACAGGGTACAGCACTGTTGCTATTAAAGAATAAGGACCCTCCTCTTACTTTAAGAGTGTTAGGCCTTGGACTTCCTCCACCCCGTGCTATAAAGTAAGTTTTATATACACTCCCTAAATCTTTTTCTAACAGTTTCTTATATAAATATTTTACCAAAAAAAAACTGCTTTTCCTCCAAGCATAAAAATTTGACTGAAACATAGATTCCCCACCCACTAACTCATCTTTTCACTATAATATAAATGCTAGCTGACATTAGGGTTAATGTCTTTTGACCACTGACTGGTATCACTGAAGTCTGAATTGCATTGTGGAGAAGGCACTTGTGTTTTCTGAGGTCTCCAGCATGCGTCTCAGTGAGCACTCAGAATTGCTGTCTTCTAGAACCCACATCAGGCCTCTGAGTGCCGTCACTAAGGCTGCTGGAGGAAAATGGTGGGTAAACTTGATTCTAAAATTGTGGAAATACAAAATAAAAACGGCATGGACCAATTCTTAGTCTAGAATCAAACTACAAACAAAAATCCAAAGTTCATTCATGAAGATTCAAACCTGCTTCATTCTCTCATAAATTATAAAATACAAAGGTGGCTGTTTTAATGACAAAACGCAAACAGTACTGAAAGGGGCCTGTGACAATGTACAAAAAGAGTCAGTCCGTCTGGCCAGGGCCCCAAGAGCCGCCCCAGGTCCAAGGGTGGCCTCCCTATTGCTGGGCCAGAAGTGCTGTCCTGTTGGCCTTCATCTTCTCCAGACGCTTGGCCAGGTGGCTGTTGGTCATCTCCATCTCCTCAATCTTGTCCAGTGCCGTTCGTAACTGGAGGCGGGAAGAGGGTGGTCATGTCACAGGGTCAGAATCAAACCCAGCGCGCCTTCATTCCCAGCTCTCTGGGAAATGGGGACGCGGCTCATTCTGATGGGCTCACACAGGCACCACGGCCTGACTGGTCTTACTCAGCCAGAGGGGCTGAACGGTGATGCCAAGGATTGCGTAAATCACAGAAACGACAGAAGCTGGAGAAACAGGCCTGATCTCAGACCAGTAAACAAAACCGTCTTTTTACTTATCGCCTATCTGACCAAAACATGAAAGAAAAAGGCAGTCACCCTGCAGATCAAAAACTACACGAAAGTGACTCCACTCTAGTTTCCCTAAGATTTGACCCAGTAGCAAATTCTTACATAGGGAACAACTTGTCTCCAAAGGATTTTTTCCTATTTAAGAGTATTCTCCAAAAAAAACCATACTAAATCAAGTACCTCTCGTTGTAGCTTCCTCTTTTCTGCTTTCAGCTCATCTTCAACTTTTTCCGCATTCTCAGCTGCAGTTTTGTACCTCAGCACCTGTCCCTCAAGCCGGTTAATCTGTAAATACGAGAACACAGGCCTGTACTGTTGGGCACTGGAAGCTCCTGCTTGTTGGTAGCCAAGACAGAAATACAATGTCATTATAAATTCCAAGTAATCTAGCACTAATAAGTCCCCTTAGGGTGAGTCATGGGTCCTCTCAGAACCCAATGCTATTAATAAATCAAGAAGTGTCCCCAGGGAGGATTACAGCTGCAGACTCATTACAGGACCAACTTCTCACGTTAAGTTTTATGATGACCATGTTGTTTGAGTGCCAAAGTAACTTAATCAGAGGAGACTCACTGAGTGGAAATTTTTAGGCTTTCTGAAATGTACACTGAGGGATTTTGTTATAAACTGTGATCCTGAATTCTCTTGAAATGCCTACCAAAAACAATTATTTCTACAGTTTCCTATGTATTTAGAGAAAACAGAAGGCCTGAAGTGCCCCACCAGGTGCCCTCTGCTGTCATTGCTGTTTTAATATAGAGCTTTTACAGAGCTCTGGCTGCAAGGCAACCCTCAGAACCCCGGCGGCCACGGTGCTGGTGCTTAGCTGTAGGAAGCAGATGTCTTCTAAGCCATTCGGTGCCGTAATGAAGTACTTACACTTTGCTCCAAGGTAGTTATATCCTGTTCTGCTTTTGAAAGCTTAAACTTGTATTCACTAATTTGTCTATTGGCATCTCCTAGAATGGAAGAAAAGAATGAATTCTTTTCATCTCTCAGACATGAAGGTGTGTGTGACCCCTCAGGCAACCACGCCCTGCAGCAGGAGGATGATGGTGTGACCCAGGACTGCAAAACAAAGGCTGCTATGGCAGCCTGGTAGCCCCGGTCCTGGGTTCTGTGTACTCCAAGGAGTTCTAGGACTTACGTTGCAATAGCACCCCCCAAATCAAGAGTTAGAAGAAACGCCATTCTTCACCCCATGATGTGTGCGAGCAGGTCTTTAAGGGGGGCATCCTGCCAGTGCAGGAGAGGCCCCTGGTCATTACACCTGCCGCCCTGTGGGCCATGCAGCCTCCAGGCCCGGGGACTGGGCCTTCTGCTTTCTTGTACACCACCCCCAACCTCCCAGGTTTTGCCTTTGCTCTCCCAACCCAGCTCTGAGTCAAGTCTTCGCCAGCCTTCAAGGCTATGCTCAACGTTCCCCTCCTTTTTAACTAACTTCTCCTTTGTCGTGACACCTGTCTGCTTTTTCATGCTGCGTGTGTACTGAAGAGAGTGGCCCTGTGTTAGCCTTTTAAAATCTATTTCTGTCCCTAGCCAAGTGCTTTACACTTCATGATTTTATCAAGAATACCTTGTGATAATGCATTATGGGTAGAGTACATTATTAGATGTATATCTAACTTAAGTAAATCACTTAAAGTGAGAAATTTGGGGGCAGATAAAAATTCTTCCCAGGAACCCAAATTTAATAAAAGTCACTCACTGAGTGACTTTTATTACAAGGCTTGTAGGAGCACAAAAACAAATCTAACCTACCAAAGAAAATATTCAAATGACCAAATTTAAGAACTTTTATACATTCCTACCTGACCCACATTACACCTACCTATATAATCTTTAACGTAAGAGCTTTCTGTGACTGGACAATTACTGTCACCTTAAAAGTAATGGTGTTATAAAACTATTTCCTCAAAAGCTACCTCTTGTACAAGTGAATTAACTATTCCTATTCCTAAGATCAAAAACAAAAACTCCTATCTTATTTTTAAATTTTTTTGCCTTTTAAAGTATCAATTTCTGGGGCCAGCAGATGGTGTGGTGGTTAAGGCACTGGACTCTCACTTGGTCAACCATGGTTTGAGTTCTGGACCTGGCGGCTTGCTTTCTCACTCTCCCTTTCACACCTCTCTCCTTCTGTCTCACTCTGGTCAAACTGAAGAAAAATAATAAACAAAATTAAATTAATAATAAAAAAGTATCAATTTCTTTCAAGATAGCGAGAAACTCAAGATCTCACCACACCACAACTCTCCCCAACCCTACAGCCAGCCAGGACCATGGCATGCTCAGACTGACCAGGATCCAAGTACCCAAGTGTGAGGCCTCCCGCACGGGTCCAGCTTTGACAGTGGCACTCTACCTCCATTGCAGCTGGGCCTATTTCATAATTCTTAAACCCAGCAACCTACTCATTATCAAAATGTGCTGCTGCTCACTCTGACTAGCCATTCCTTCCTGTTTAGAAGTATAGATTCCTCGTCTCAGTCATCCCATGTGTGTTTTGAAGTCCCATTCCAAGGTGCCGTGTGTAACAGCCAAGGCGCTGTCCAGACTGAGCGGTCCTGGACACTGCCTGCTTGTCTTGACCAGCCAGGTGCATCTTTACCCACAGGCCAGCTCAGCTCACTTCACTCTACCTCCACCCTGGAAACCTTTCCCTGCCTCTGCAAACTCCAGCTCCACAACACCGACCTGTTCTAGGAAGCATTCACAGAAGAATGCCGGCTTATGCTCCCTCAGTAAGATTCCTTCTGAACTGGCTGCTTTGGGCTGATCTCTCAAATCTCCCCTCTGCTGTCTCTGAGACTTGGCAGCCACTGCGCTGGCTCAGGCTCTCCATCATAGCTCTTAACTATTTAGCCTGGCTCCTGTTATGTCCCTGCCTTCATCTACCATCCAAACCAAAATGAGGGCCAGACCACAGCACGTGGTAACGCAGTGCAACTCCTCACAGGAAGGCCCCGGGTTTGTGTCCCGGGGTCTCCAATGTCCATGACGAGTGTGTCCCAATCTAGGCTGGCTGAAGCTAGAGGTGGATTACAGAGTGAAGACCCTGTTGGCAGTGCGTGCCTGTCTGTCTGTCTGTCTGTCTCTCTCTCCATCTTTCTGTCTCTTGTGGAAAAAACAGATTAACTTAAAAAAAAAAAAAAACGTTAAATTCTTAAAATACTACAGTGGTATTCTAGAACAAAATATTCATCAAGAAATGTCACAAAGGTCCTAACTAATTATTTGATTAAAGTACTACTAACCTAAAAGTTATCTATAGCATTAAAAACTCAATCTAAGAAGCATTTTCTCTTCAATGTAACTCAGCCTATTTACATAAACAGGCCATGGAATAGCAAAGACTTCCGAATCGGCTGTCAGAGCTGGCTGCGGTGACAGCTCTGTGAGGCTGAGCCCACACAGGAAGGCCCTCAGTTTACGCCCAGAGGTCTCTGGATGTAGAACACGTGTCTGCCCATGATTTGGGCTGGCTGAGGCTGGGGGGTGTATTACACTGTGAGGACTCTGTTGGGGGTGTGGGGGACCCCCATTTCTCTCCTCCCTTTCTGTCAAAGAAAAAGCAAGATGGAATCACTCTCTAGTCTAGTGATTAGAGGAGCCAGATCCCACATGATCAACTATGGTTTGAATCCTGAACCCAGACGCTTGGGGAAAACATGCCAGTTGTGTGTGTATACATGTCCAAAGTCCCATCGGGGTGGAGAAATGGAAGAGAAGGGGTTGTGGTAAAACCACACCCGATTGGGGAGTGCATTCACCCCTCCCGTCTTTCTCTGGTGAGCACATGTGCCCTCTGGTAATTTACAAAATAAACAAAATTAAAAAAAAAAAAAACAGCAATATCGGTTATCAGAAAAGCCACTATTTAGACTGGAAAAATAAGTCTCCCCGTCCATGAATTACATATACGTCATCACCAGCAAAGGCTAACCAATATGAACTGGCTTCTGAAGGCTCCCTACTATGAAAACTACTGTGAATACAGTAAACAATTGAAAATATCAGGTCAAAGGTAAAAAGAGGGGAAAAAACAATAATTTAGGTAAGCTGAATGGACTTGACTTTGTAGCCTTGATTTAAATTCCGTCTAATGATTAACTTGGGCTACCAAGAATATGTGTAGAAAAATCCTGGAATTACTCAATATTAGTATGAGTGAGTTCCAGATATAATCTTCCAATCACAATAAATTCCAAATATAATCCTCCAATTATCCAAGATAAAATTTCGTCAGGAAGGGTATCACAAGGGAACTTGATGACACATGGACGTGAAAAAAGACAGTTGCCAAAGGCAAAAGTTCCTAAAGCCACTGTGCACGGCAGGGGGAGAGCCATAACTTACTCTGAAGCATGCAGGCTACCAGAGCCTCTCTGGCAATATGTGAACTAGCAAGGACTACCCAATCTTTGTAACGTTGCTCCTCTTGAGAAAAGCTAACTGCGAGACTCCAACAGCCTGCTCACGAGCCCAACCCTCGGACATGACCTGGCCAGAGGTTGGGACTGGCCTGTCCCAGGACTTACTCTGCATTTCGATGAACTGTAAGTCAGAGCCGTTCTGCAGCCCTGCCAGGTCGCCTGCTGTACCATCGTTCCTGGAGCCCTTCTGCCGTTCTTCCTCTAACTGCAGCTTCAGTTTTCTAACCTGAAATGGAAATAAAGGTTGGTCAGGAAGACCTACTCTCTCAAATGGAACAGATGCTTGGCCCAATGGCCGCACCACAGAACGAGGCAGGTCCGCATGGTATCAGCCACATAAGCCATCATTCTTTAAAAGTATTCTGAGAGCAGGATACACGCTGTTCTAGGGGCTAGAGATAATGAGCTATGAATAGATACCCGAAGGAGGGAGTCCTGGGACCAGGTGTCCTCATTAAAATTGTCATACTGGGTCAGCCAGTGGCATGACGGTTAAGGCGGCTGGATCCCACATGACCAACTGTGTGGTTCGAGTCCCAGAGCTGGCAGCTTGAAAAGCACAGCAGGCGTGTGTGCATGCATGCCCAGAATCCTGAGGGGAGAGTGGAGGAGCATGGCCATCCTTCCTACGGGGGTGCACTCTTATCCCTCTCCATCTCTCTCCGACAAGCATACGATCTTAAATAGCAAACTAAAAATAAATGAATAAATAAAACCCATCATATTATTATTATTTCTGTATGTTTGTGGAACCAGTACATTTTTTGGGTATTTTTTTGTTAACTTTTATAAGAAACAGAAAATTCCATGAGCAGTTAGGTTTTTTGTTTGTTTAGGTTTATAGAAAGATTAAGTATTCTTATTCAGAAAACTTTTTGTATAGAAAAATAATTGGAAATATATAGATGGCTTCACCAACTATTCTCAACTTCATCAACGGGGGTCAAGGGGAACCCTCAGTACTGAGACTAAGTGGGTCACTTCTCCGTGGGAAAGGATGAGCTCTGCGCTGGGAACTAAACCCAAGGTGCGGGAGCCAGGGCAGGGGACCTCTAGCTTCATCATAAGCATAATGGAATCGTATCACTCCCTAAACCAAGTGTTCACCTACCTACCTACCTACCTACCTAATTTTTTTTTAAAAGGATACAACAAAGAGCCAAAATATGAATTATCTTTTTATCTTTCAAATCTCACTTGAATTTGCTAAAATTAATCATCCTCTTTCAATAATAATTAATAATAATACCCGCCAATGAGATGTAACTTCCATGAGCAGCCTTTACCTGTGATAGCAGATCTTCCTTTTCTCCAGCAAGTTTTCGTAGCCTGACATCTAAAACAAATAAAAAAGGATTGTAAACTAAATTTTTAATGGTGTACTACATAAACATTTAAAACTATTTCTTAAACTCACAAACAGCACACATTATCTGGTAAATTACATTACAGCTCCGAACATCAAAAGAGATAAAAGCTTTCATGGTATTTCAAATTAGTACTTAACTATCCAAAACATTAATATATTCTTGCACAACGGTTATTTATCAGGGTACCAAATATATTTGCTCCCAACAGCAGTGATTTTCCACTTAAAGACAAACACTGAAGTATGAAGGAAATCATTTTCTTGGTTCAAAAAAAAAAAATGCAAGCTTTCACCAGCATACAGGTGCCATAGGTGCTCCCACAGGCTTAAGCCCTTAGCAGAAGATGAAAATTTGTGGACATATACAGGGCTCAGAGTGGGACCAGGTGAGGGGAAACCAGAGCAGAGCCAACACGTGGGATGGCACGCAGCTCCCCAAAAGCCGGCGGAGTGGGAGGGGGTACTCAGCCCTAAGACATCAGCAGCCAAGTGCGGATCTGAGGCTCAGGAGCAGGATCATTTGGGCTGGCCCGGGGAGAAGGCTGCTTCTTCCCAAGCCTGGATGAAAGTAGGCCGGAGGAGCAGAGGAGACGCCCACTCCGAAGTCCACTTAGAGAAGTAACTGGCACTGCACTGCCCCCACCTAGCTGCCCGGGATCAGAGCTAAACGGTCCGTTCTGGTTTCCCCAGCACCTGAGTGGGCAGTGGACACACCTGAGCTACGGTGGCCACTGCCCGACCCATTCTCCAGAGAGTCTCTCGCTTACCCAGCTTTCCCTATTTTATCCAAGTGCTCTACGGTGAGCACATTCGAATTTGAAATGAGACCCGTTAGAGAATGTGCTTGCTAACTTTAACATGTTTTTCATCTTGCTCCATTCTTACAGTATCTCACTTCTCTAGGAAACCTGCACATCTACTGGGCTGTCAGAAAAGTCATGACACACTTTTTCTACGTTTGTCAATGCAAGAAACAGACTTTTCTGACAATCCCATATTAAAACAAGATGAAAAGGGAAAGAAAAGAAAGAACATTTTAAAATAAACAAAAGTAAGAGCTGACTCCACAGCACAGTGGTTGAGGAGCCAGATGCCATATGGCCAACTGCAGTTCAAATCCCAGCCCCAGCGGATTGAAAAACATGCCAGGCATGAGTATGTGCATAATCCTGGCAGGGAGGAAAAATGTCTCAGTGGGGGGTGCCTTTTCTCTCTTTCCTCTCTTCTCTCTCTGGTAAGTACGTGTGCCCTGTGACAATTAGAGCGAGTTATCTCAGTTCTAAAGAAATAAGTGAGCTGATGATAACGGATCTATGCTACTCTTCTTCCTGTAGAGTCTGATTCTTAGTGGGGGCAAGAGATGGCACCTTCATTGTTTCCTGAGGAGAGAATCACTAGATTCTCAAAGGGGTTACATTTTAGAGGCTTAGAAGCCCGTCTCTGGAAGTCACATTCCTCTGACAGCTACCCGTCTCTGGAAGCCACATTGCTCTGACAGCTATCTGCTTGTTCCTCAGAACCCTGGGATAAGGAGTGGAACATAAAGCCAGATGTTCTAGGAAGAAGGAACTTAAAACCTACTTGGAAGCCTCCTGCGAGCCCACTGTTTCCCTGGGACCGGATGCTGGACTACCTCTTTGCAAAATGTTGGAAGTTCAGTGAAAAAGCAGCATGTGCATCTAAACCCACAGCACTTCAACCCAGGAACCTCATAATGACCCTGACTGCCTTTCAGGGACCTAGACACTGGTTTCCCAAGGTCAAGGATATCGCCCATCAATGTGCCCAGATATTTCCTGTTAAGAATCTTGGTAAGCCTCAGACAGCTCTTGCCACTGTTTTCCACACTGGGACATGAACGAGCTGGAAGCCCAACAGGACGACATCAAGCCAAGTCAACAGTGTCTTACCTAGCGGCCCTTCTCCTGCCGACTCCAGGACCTGAGCAGCTTCCTGAGACACCACAGTGATGGCGCCAACCACTGGCTCATGATTGACGTCGCCATTAGGAGTGCCGTCAGGGATTATTACTAAGCCATGTTTCTGTGGAAAAGGAAAAAGCCCACCATCACAAACGGTGGCCCACATGGGAGCAGCAAGCCCTGAGAGGTAGCCAGGAAGACCTGGTTAGAAGTAGCTACGTGGAATATGGCTCTGTGGAAGAAATGACTTCGACCTATCAACCCGGGTTAGGGAATAAACACTGCTGTCTGTATCGAGGCCAGGGAAGATGACAGGATCAAAGGCAGCGGGCAAAGTCAAGCAGGCGACCCGGGCTCCAGGCAGAGCTGACGTACCTCTCCGGTCCCCGCTGTCTCCTGCAGGTCAGCCAGCTCCTCTCGGAGCGTGTCTCGCTCACTCCTAAGGCAGGCAATGTATTCTTTCTGTTTCTCTAGGGCCTGGTTTTAGGCAGGGGAGCAGGGAAAGAATGGCACAGAAAAAGAGCAAGTGAAAGGTAACGGAAGTACCGAGTTCACATCAGCAAGGGTAAAGGCATGAAAGCGAGGAAGAGTTAAGAACGTGGAAACGTTAGAGCCGTTAGATATGGCAGGACATTCCAAGTCATACGGACATACACTGCCAAGAGAGCTTTAGAAGAAACGGGAGCTCATGCAATTAACTCGGCAAAACGTACTTGTCACATCAAGCAGAAAAACAAATCTTTCTTTTCCAGTCAATGAAAAAAAAAAAAAACAGGAAAAGAAAGATGGAGAAAGCAGTGATAGTAAAATTAAGATTTCCTTACTGACCTCCTCAGTACATTTTCATTTGGTGAAGTACAAAATACATTTCATGTTTAACTAAAATAATTTATTCAAGAGTATACATGTGGGTTTTTTTTTTCTTCAATGGCTCTGGAAGAAAAATAACTACTATACACGAGGTATTTTAATTCAATATTAACCATATGAACATTCTCCAAGTAGTGCGGCAAAATACTCACATACCACTTAATTCAAAACAGCTGAATTGCCAAACAAATTCTTAAGGACTTATTTGTTAGTTTAATTGAACACAAGACTCATTTGGTTTTCTGATGCACTTTCAAGATATGAAAAAAACAAAAATAAAACATTAACCAAACAAACACAACCCACTTATGAGGGGGTAGTAGAATATGGGGCCCAGCACATATTAAAGGAATACTCATGTAGAACACTGTCTACAGTACGCAGGACAACAGAGAAAGTTCGTGAAAAGCAGAGCAGTATTTTCGTCTGTAAAGTTCCTGCCATTCCCTGAATCTCACAAGCCCCAGAGCTGAGGAGGACAGTGCGGAAGCAGGAGCACGCTGTGGTCATCGGTAAACAACCAAATCTCTGTGACTATTAATAAAAGAACCCGGACAACATAGGGACCCGGCAGCTGGGCAAAAAACACCTTTCTCTATCTATCTGTTCATATACTTAATGTTTTCTGCCATCATTCCCATTGATCTAAAAAGTTAAACTATTTGGTTGTTGGAAAAGTCAAGATGTGTTTTTGCTCAGAAAAAAATACGTCTTGACATTTCTGATAACCTGACAGAATAGTTAACTCTCCTCTCGGTTTATCGGGTTTAGAAGTGGCACAACTATTTAGTGGCTGATGACTGCATAGTGGGACAATTTTTAAAACTGATACAATCCTACTCTGTAACCAAACTGGGAAGAAGAAAAGGTAGGATGGGTGGTTAAACTAGCTGAACCCCACATGGCTGACCCTGTGGCTTGAATCTCAGACCCAGAAGCTTAAAAAACACTCTGGCATACATGTGTGTGCCCAAAATCCCAAGAGAGAATGGAGAGGGGATTGCAGCATGGCCACCCCCTGCTGGAAAGGTGCTTTCTCTCCTTTCATCTGAATCTGTCTCTTCCTCTCTCTCTCTCTCTGGTGAACATACGTGCCCTAGAGCAAATTATAAAAAAAAAATAAAATAAAATAAAAGAGGGGCTGGCAGGTGGCGTGGTGGTTAAGGGCGCTAGACTCTCACATAGCCGACCGTGGTTCGAGTTCCAGACCTGGTGGCTTGCTTTCTCACCTTCTCTCTCTTTCTGTCCCTCTCTGGTCAAATTAAAACATAAATAAATAAAGTTAAATAAAATAATTTTTTTTTAAAAAAAGAAAGAATATGGGATGGTAGCAATGACCATTTATACAGCATGAATTACACAGCAGGCATATTCTATGCACATGTGATTTCCCTGTCGTGTGTTCCTTTGTATGTGAAAGTTCTCCCTTACATGTCCTACATGAACTCCTTTGCATGTACCTGTCCTATCCCCATTTTACAGATCATACAATTGAGGACCAGAGAGGTTATGTGTTTTGCCCAAAGTCATAGTAAAATGACTAGATAATGAATCCAGTTCTTTTCTGGTTCGAAATCCTTGCGTATCGTTTTTATATCACAGCCCCATGAAGGCCACAGTACATTCCCTCGCTGTCATCCTAGGTGGTCCTGGACAAGCAGGCCTGTTTTCTTACCCCAACTGCAATGTCAACGCCTAACTTCCTCTGGACAGTTCCCATTCACTCCAGATGCTATATTTCTAGTCTGCCTGTAAATTAACAGGTTGAGTTTCTAGCACCGTAGTCGTTTATCCAACCCTTCCGGCCAGTAACTCTCCATTCCATCCGTAACAAATGGAGAACAAAGCACTGCGGTACTGTCCCATCTGTCGACAGTCTCTTCGATCTCCGCTGGGTTAGCTGTCTTCGATGATCTGCATGCACAATTTCGCCATGCATCACCACACATAACTGAGTCAACCATCACTGTCACAACATGCGCTATGTAAACACCGTCACTGAGGACGGAGGGCTTCTTAGGACAGACCAATTCGAAACCAGGAATTCATGCAAACACTGGCCTATGACATCTGCTCTCTCCCACATCCGATAGCACTGGATTTTATTTTTCACTTTTAGACTTTTTAATTTCATCTTTCCATAATTACAGTCGGGAAAATAAAATGTATCCTGTAACCTCACCCTTTCCACCACAAAGTTTGAAAACACTGAAATACCTCATAATTGGATCCAGTGTATTCATGCTAGATCTGAAATCCTCTCTATAAGCTGACCATGGAACCATGACCCTTGTATTTGTGTGCAACAATAACTCCTACGGTACTTTTTTTTTAGGGTAAAAAGTACAAGCTTGTATAGATCTAAATAATTCTTTGCCCCTGACCTAACCTCGAATTCTAGTGTCAAAAGCCAAAAAGATATGCTCAGGCCAAACATCTGGGCAACAGGTTAATTCTCCACGTAACTACACTGGGGCACGGATATTTTAGTCAGAAAATGAATGAGTTTATGCTGGGCTATATAAATATATGAGTGCTCCTATGTACCGATTCTACACACGGGATCTTGCTGTTCGGTGGAACTTGAGGCAAGGCCGCTTAGCTCAATGAAGGAAGAGTTAAAGAAAACTGAACTCAGACCTAGCGATAACAGACATGCTTTTTCATTAAATTACTATATCTAAATCTGAAAATTAAGGTAGGGACAAGACATGTATCAGATGGGCACTGGCAATACTCAAAATGTGTCTTTTAAAAGTCAGCAGAGGGGGACCAGCAGGTGGCATGGTGGTTAAGGCGCTGAACTCCCACATGGCTAACCAAGGTTCAAGTCTCAGACCTGGTGGCTCATTTTCTCTCTCTCTCTCATCATTATAGCAAATTTTAAAATGTAAAAAAATAAAAACAGCAATAAAATTAAATAATTCTTTTAAAAAAACCATAAGGGGAAGACTACCTCACATGCATTAGAATGGCTGCTATCAAAAAAACAGAAAGTAACAAGCGCTATCAAGGCTGTGGAGAAATTAGAACTCTTTTGTACTGATGGTGGAAATGTGCATGGCGCAGCCACTACAGTAAACAGTACAGTTGTTCCTCAAAAAAATTAAACTCAGAGTTACTATATGTTCCAGCAATTCCACTTTTAGGTAAGTACCCAAGACAAGTGAAAGCAATGTCTCAGAGGTATTTGTACAGCTGTGTTCACACCAGCCAAATGGTAGAAACAACTCCAGTGTCCACTAACAGATAAAGGTGGTAAATTGACACACTGGAATACTACTCAGTCTTAAAAGGTAAGGACAGGGACCAGCAGTTAGCATAATGGCTATGTCGCTGGACTCCCATGTAGTTGACTGTGGTTTGAGTCCCAGACCTGGTGGCTTAAACTCACGCCGGGCACATGTGCGTGCGTGCCCAAGATCCTGAGAGGAGAATGGAGGAGAAGGGATTGTGGCATGGCCATCCCTCCAGGGGATGATTTCTCACTTTCTGTCTCTGTCTCTGTCTTTCTGGCGAGTGCACGTGCCCTATAGCAAAAAACTCTCAATAAATAAATAAATAAATAAATGGGAAGGACATTCTGACATTTGCAGCAACATTAATGAACCTTGTACATATTATACTAAGGGAAATAAGCTAGTCACAAAAGGACAAATCCTATATGATTCTATTTACATGAGGTACCTAGAGTAGCCAAAATGACAGAGACAGAATGATCAATAAATGTGGTTGCCGGGGCCAGTGAGGCTGGAAAGCGGGGTGGGGCGGGGGTTAGTGTTTAATGGCACAGAGCCCCAGCTGTGGAAGATGAAAGAGTTCTGGAGATGGACAGTGGTCACAGCAGCACAGCAAGGTGGATATACTTAATGCCACTGACCTGTACACTTAAAAACAGTAGAATGATAAGTTCTCCATTATTTTGGCATAATTTTTAAAATTCAGAGAGTTGACCTGAATGAATCTCAAGGAACTTACGCTAAGTGGAAAAAAGCGAAATCCAAAATGTTATATATTCTATTATTCCATTTACCTAACTTTCTTAAAATGGCCCAAAGCATAGAAATGAAGAACAGATTAGTAATTGCCAGGGCTTGGGAGGAAGAGGAAAAGTAACAGATAAGGTTATAAAAGGGCAAGAGAGAGAGCCTTTATGGTGATGGGAATGTTCTGTATCTTTTGTTTTAGATTTCTTCCTAGGGCATGTGTGCTTTCCAGAGAAAGAGAGAGGGAAAGTGAGAAAGGCCCCCCCCTGGGGGGATGGCCATGCCACAATCCCATCATTTAACTGTACCAAACTCAAGATCCTCGCTAGAATAGTGTACTATATATAGTTTTGCAAGAAGGTACATTTGAGGAGGGCAAGGGTTAGATAAAGGGCATAAAGGATTTCTCTGTATTATCTCTGACAGCTGTATATGAATCTCAAAATTTAATTTAAAAGGGCAAAGGAGCACATTATCACATGCCATATAGAATAAAGATACCTAAAGTTCTCTTGGAATCAGTGTCTCAGTTTTAGGTGTGGAGTTACTAACTTACTTGCTGATATTTATTTTGCTTGTTTTATAATGCAAGAATTCATATGTGTTCTGTACATAAACCATATCTTAGTTTTTAATGCTCTCTCTCTGTCCTGAAAGTCTCATTTTAGTAATTATTATAACAATAAATAAATATGGAAAAAAAACTTTACAAATCACCTACCTACTTTGATTTTGCCACATCTCTTTTTAAATTTCTTAAATAAAAATTAAAATAGTAATCTACAACTGTAACATCTAATAGAGTTGTTATTTATTCCCAGAAGGGTTTTCGAGGTTTGGGTAGAATTTTAGAAACTCGATCATTTAAACATGAGAATATTATCTATAAAGTAGCTTTGATTCTTTAAAGTTTTGGTCTACAAACTCTTACCAAGTGTAATGGTTTTCCCATGTGTTTATTAAAGAAAGAAAAGGATCCTTGGAGTGATAAAAAGAACTAGATACTGCTGACTACTAGGTGAACTTTGAAACGTCCCTAACAACACAATCAGGTATAATCCAGAGGGATTCAGACCTGGGCACATCTGGCAGGTCCCCTCAAGGAACCTCTGTCAGCTCTTCCCTACCTCACCGAACCTCAAGCGGGAAAGATGACCCACTCATACGGTTTCCCTGCCATAGCCCTTCCCTGACAAGACACTCCTCCGGCAGCTCCGCTGAGTGGGTCCCCTAAGTGCAGAAGGAAATGTGGAATGACACCAAAGGTAACATGAGATGAACTGTGGGAATTGTTTCAGCTTCAGTGTACTTGGAATCTACCTACAGAGTTTAGCAAAAAAAGTGAAAACCTTTTCCTTATCGGGCCCTTGCTTTGGGGAGTTCTGAAGTTATAATTAGAGGTGACATCATGGTTTGGCAACTTCACCAAGTCTTGCATTCCTATCCACTTCTGTAATTAGACTGATTTTAGTCTCTTCCTATTTTATTCACCATGGATTTATAAGATACTAATAAACTCCCTCCACCCCCACTTCCTATCTTCTTGCTTCACCCAAATTCTTGTAATGTCAGGGTATCAAGTCCCCCCCAGAGTTCCAATTAGATGCCTGTGGTGGCTTCTGATAAGAATCCTAGGGAAATAAAGAATAGCCCTTTAACAGTTCTTTCTGGTCAAATTAAATAATCATCATCATCATAAGCATAATAAATAAAATCAAATGTTTTCTGAGTTTGTTTGTTTTGTAGAGTTAGCTGGAAAGAAGAGTTCTTTCCGGTCACAATATCGGGCCTTGCCATGGAAGTCTCTGTCTCCTGCTTATTCATATTTCACACTCTATAAATGCTCAAGAATAAGTAAAAGGACAGATTTTTATGACTCCCTAGGTTAAATTCTATTGGTCTATTCCTCATCAGTGAGTTTCTAACCAAAGCCCAATTTCATCTCCTACCCCAATTTTTTTATCTTTCCAAAGAAGTGTCTCCTGAAGGTCAAACACTTCTTTGGTTATGGTGTCTATTTTCTCCTGCATGCGCTGGTTCTCCTGCAGAAGAAGAGGGGAAGAGAAGGAATAAAAGCAAAAACAAAAAAGGGTAAGAGTGTTAAAAGGAATGAAAAAAAAAAAAAAACAGAACAGAAAATAAAGTTTGATACACTGAACAGAAGGGGAAAGTCTGTGCTGAACAAGAAAAGCAAGAGTCGTTTGCTGAACAGGAAGAGGACATCCAGCATCTTGGCGGCATGACTGTCATGAGCTTGCCCTACGGAAGCCAGCCAGGGATCCGGGGATAACTGTTCCGACCACAGCTATGTGGCCGCCAGCCAGCCAGGGTCTGTGTGTCCACAGAGCTCCGTATGTGCATTCTTCCTTCGAGGACTGCCTTTTTTCCAAGTAACTTACATTTCGAGAGAGGGGAATTTATGTTTGTTTATGAACAAGTGATCTTGTACCACACAGAGCAAGAGTAGTTCTGAATTTTATCTTTTCAAGCAAGACAGACATATACCTTGCTCTGATCATTTTTAACCTTTTAACAGAATCCATGAAAGCAAAATCATCATGAACTACAAAAGAAATGCCAGTTTTTATAATTCAAATTTACCATTGAGCAATTCTTTTTTTAAAGAAATTTATTAAATTTTTTCTGGGGGAACCAGCAGTTAGCGTAATGGCTATGTTGCTGGACTCCCACGTAGTCAACCGCGGTTCGTGTCCCGGACCCGGTGGCTTAAAACTCACGCCGGGCGCGTGTGCGTGCGTGCCCAAGATCCCGAGAGGAGAATGGAGGAGAAGGGATTGCGGCGTGACCATCCCCCCTGGGGGGTGATTTCTCGCTTTCTGTCTCTATGTCTCTCTCTGTCTGTCTGGCGAGCACACGCGCCCTACAGTGAAAAAATCTCTCAAAAAAAAAAAAAAAAGAAATTTATTAAATTTTTTTTGGAAATTTTTATTGACCAAAGAATTGGTTTTTATCACATCAGGGGATAGTGCTACTCAAAAATTAATTTCACAAATAGAATTTTGTTCAAAACAATAAAAGAAGTGTGATTACACACATGTATATCAAAAACTAGAACCTTAAGAACACTTTCTGTTGCTTCTCTGAACATTTAGCTATTCCTAAAGAACTCTTCTGATTAGGCAATGATGCTAAATTTATACCCTCTTAATCAGGTTTTCTTCTTATGCATTACTAGAAAATTGTCATCTCCTCCTTATTCTGCTAATACATCATCTACTTTACCTTGCAATTCTATAAAGACCACATTATTTGTCATACTCAAGGCTTTTCAATTAAATATAACTATGGATACTAACATCCAAAACATGTTTGTTCTAAATATCAAAAACACCTAAAATTAAGGTTTTTAATATCTGTATACTCTACACCCTGAGTTTCTAAAGAAACCACAATGACAAATTATAGAGACTGAGCATCACGATTCCCCTATACTCACCCAAACCTAACTTAAACCACTGAATTTAAGAAGAAGTCACAAAGCGGTTTTATTATTCTTTGAAATCATGAAAGAGGAAAAGTCTACATCTTAATTAGAAAAAGAAGACAAAAGGACAAAAGGGAAAGAATTTCCCATCATTTTTTAACACAAGAAAAGGGTACAGAATTTGGCTAATACTCTTCTTACCATTTATAGGAAAAACTAAGAAAAATAACTTCACATGTAATCTGATACATGCAAAGGGTTATCTGTATCTGCCTTTAGAATCTGCAAGTTCTGGCTATGTTCAATTCCATTATTCTTGATAATAACGAAAAAAATAATACTAATCCATAAATAGAAGAAGTAATTTCTTTTCTTCTATTCAAAAATTTTTAAGTTATTTATAAGGACAGAGATTACACCCATCCCCAGAGGAAGAGGAAAAGAGAAAGGGGAAAAGGCTGGGGCTCTGGGTAACCAGGAATGTGGAGGAGTGTGGTGAGGCGTCTCCCCTAGGATTGCTAGAGGCTGGCCTTCCTGATAGCCCTGGCATGTCATCAACACTAAATTAAGATTAGATGCCCTCAATACCACACCTAGACAGTGGGTAAGATTCCCTTCAAATTTAATGTCCATAAACCCTCAAGAGGAAAAAAGCTCGTTCAGAACTGAGACGCATGTAAGGCAGTGGGCCCACGGAGATGGAAATGCTTTCAGAAGGGCCAGGTACCCTCTCTCTCCACACTTAGGGGGCGGCCAACAGCATGGCACACGAAGCTCTTCTACTGCACAGAAGCAGTATCTGCATGAGCCAACCACCCCCTTTCTGTACACGAGGTTTCTTGATCATTTCTTTTTCATTTAGCCACCTCGGAAATGTATCTACCAGAAGAAGATCAAAATTCTTATTCCCCAGGGATCATGTCCCAAATACAGTGTACACTACAAAAGAATAACATCTACTTCCTCGTTTTTTTCCTTTTGCCCATTTCCTAATGTATCTTTAGGAAAGCCTGTACTGAGGAATCAGAGAGACAGAACCATCTGCTACTAGAAGGAGAAAGATCGAAAGGATTCTTAGTAATTTTTAAAGTATGACTCTATGTTTTATACTTACAAAGTTTTAGGGGTGTTGCCCAATGTGAAGGGACAAGTTAATTATGCAGGACATTAACTCTTTCCTCCCAACACATACCCTCTCATCCCACCCAAATCATCTTTGTCCAAATGGAGTATTTCCACGGCTCACGCACGTACCTCAATAAGCTCATCTCTTTGCCGAAGGCCTTCTTTAAGTTCATCCATCTTGTGCTGCAGCACGCTACACATATGTTTCTGCCTTTCCAACTCCTAATATTAAACAAATCACGTGGTTTACATAAGTCATGGCACACAACAAACATGAAGGTATATAATACAGCACAGAGGCTAAGTATGACCTCCAAAATATACCCAGACGCTGGTCCCCAGTACTTAGAAAACTGTTCATTCTTGGGGAATAAGCTCTGGAGAGCGGTGCGGTGGTAAAACATGGTCCTCTGCAAGGCTGACCCACAAGGGAAGTTTCCAGGCTTGCATCTAGAGACCTCCTTGAGTACACCAGACCTGTGTGCCCTGACCCAGGGCTGGCTGTAGCTGGGGGAGAGCATGTCATCAGGACCCTATTAGAGGTGTGGTCTCTCTGTCTCATTCACTCATGGGAGAAATAAATTGCAAAAACTTAACATTGTTTACTCTATAGAAAATGTACCAAAAATTTTAAATTTATATAGCTGAAAAGCCTGAACTAATCAATGGCAATATTAATATAAACAATATACAACTTAGTAAAGTGATATCATTAAGTTAACATATAAAATCCAATAACCTTCATAGATACAAGGAAAACTAGAGAAGAGATAATAAACACTAAATAAAATACATACATGTAAACTTTAAATAAATAAAAAATGTACATGTAACTTTTATTTCAAAAATCTATATGAGAAAAATGATATAAAACCACAAAAACAGAGAAGCAAAATTGACCAAATGGAAAGGTATGTCATCTTTTTAGATAGTCTCGCCATCAGAAAAATGCCAGTTTGCCCTCAATGAATCAGCATATTTAATGAAATAGTAAAAATTAAAATAGCATCATGTTTTTCTCTTTTTCAAAGAATTACTGCATTTAACTTTATTTATTTTAATTTGACCAAATAGGGGCAGAGAGAAAGAGAGAGAGAAAGTTGCCAGGTCCGGGACTCAAACTGTAGTCAGACACATGGGAGTCCAGTACCTTTAACCACCACGCCACCTGCTGGCCCCAGCATGTTTTTCTATCTGAGCGGGTTTCAAGCCACCAGGTCCAGGACCCGAACCACAGTCGGCCATGTGAGAGTCCAGCACTTTAACCACTATATCGCCTGCTGGCCCCTTCATGTCCACCCCCTCCCCCCCAGACCAAGAATCAGACATTTGTCCAAGAAGCCCTAGTTCTCTTTTGTGGAGTGTGGGTACTCATTGTCACTGAGCCGTCACTGTTTAAGGTCTGTTCAGTGGATGTATCTGGGACACAGTATGTGGGTTTGCTGTTGAGTTCTTGCTGATAGTTCCGGATCATATTTAGGATCCTAGGCTTTTCACCTAGGTTTTTTTTTTTTTCGGGGTGTTTCACCTATTTTTTTTTTTTTTTTTTTTTTTTTTTTTTTTTTTTTTAATACCCATTCTGCTTACATCTGTACTTCCTTTTTCCCACACTACAATTCTTAGTTTTCAGAATCACTGGGAATGACAGTAATTATGTTATGTCCCATTCTCATTGCTTTAGTCCGCATTACCCAGAATAGCAATACCAACATCAATGGTATAATTACCAAAAACAGTTAAATGTGTTTGTTTTGTTTGGCTGTTATTTTTTGCCACTAGGCTATGTAAAGCCATACTGTAATTTTTTTTTAAGTTGGTTTTTTTTTTTTTTTGGCCATAGGGCATGTGTGCTCACCAGAGATAGCAAGAGAAAGGGAAAGTAAAAAATCACCCCCCAGGGCAGATGGCCACACCATATCCCTTTTTCTTTATTCTCCTACTCCTCATTTTCCTCCTGGGATCTTGGGTGTGCACGCACACGCACATGCACACGTGCACACACACCAGGATTTTCAAGCTGCCAGGTCTGGGATTTAAACCACCGTCCACCACGTGGGAGTCCAACACCTTAGCCACCATGCCATCTGCTGGTCCCACCATACTACTGCTTTTAAAAGTTAGATGAAACAGTTTCTCTCTCTGTGCTTATACTACTAACTGGTTATATAGTTAGAATCAAAACGTTTTAGGGGCTGGCAGGTGACGTGGTGGTTAAAGCCCTGGACTCCCACATGGCAGACCGCAGTGTGAGCCCTGGACCTGGCAGCTTTCTTTCTCACTTGCCCCTTCTCTCTCTCTGGTCAAATTCAAAAACAACAATAGTAACAAATGGAAATAAATAATTCTTTTTTAAAAAAGAATCAATCCATTTTATTCTTAATATTTAAGAATTATTTTTGAATGTTTTTAATTGCAGTAAAAAATACACAACCTAAGACTTGCCATCTTGACCACGTTAAATTCCACAGTGCAGGAGTGTTAAATATATTCATATTGTTGTGCGCATCCTGTTATGCCTCCTCCCTCCCCCGTGTCCCTCTCTGGCAAGGACACATGCCCGCTGGCAATTAAAATAACAAGGGGGAAAGAGAAAGAAGTGACAGGGAACCTCTAAGTTAAGACACTTAAAAGACATATCAGCTAACTCAAAGTATAGAACTTATCTGATCCCTGATTTTATCTAAGTATAAAAGAAAAATCTTTAAAAACTCCTGATACATAATATAAAGGAGTTAATGTTCATTTATAGATGTGAAATGTCCTTTTGGGTTTTTTTAAAGGTTTTTGCCATCGGGCATGTGTGTTCGCCAGAAACAGAGAAAAACAGAGGGAAAGTGAAAAATCACCCCAAGGAGGGATGGCCATGCCATAATCCCTTTTCCTCAGTCTCCCTTCAGGATCTTGAGCATGCATGCACACACGCTGGCACGGTATTTCAAGCCATCGGGTTCAGCACTCATACCGCGGTCAGACATGTGGGAGTATAGCAACTCATTACCACCCCACCTGCTTGTTCCTTGATTATATTCTTTTAAAAGACCAGGGACCAGCAGTTAGCATAATGGCTATGTCGCTGAACTCCCATGTAGCCGACCGTGGTTAGAGTCCTGGACCTGGTGGCTTAAACTCACAACGGGCGCATATGTGTGCGTGCCCAAGATCCCGAGAGGAGAATGGAGGAGAAGGGATTGCGGCATGGCCATCCCCTTGGGGGGGGATTTCTCACTTTCTATTTCCCTGTCTCCATCTGTCTGGCGAACGTATGCACCCTATAGCAAAAACCTCTCAAAAAAAAAAAAAAAGAGTCTATACAGTGTATAGAACCATATCAAAATTCAATATTAAAATACGGGATGCTTCGACTGTGCTTCAAATATAGGGTGGGGAAAATGGCCAGGGAAAACTGACCATGGGCTGATGGTGAATGGCGCCAGGCTCTGGCCTCAGAAGAGCTCATTACACGCTTCCATCTACTCTTTTGTACATTTTAACCCATAGTAAAATATTCTGTAGGGTCAGGTGGGATGCAGAGGTAACTGAAAGGGACCACAGGGCAAAGGTCCTAGGCTCACGTCCTGAGACTCACTGAGCACACCAGCACACACCTGTGACCCAGCGGCTGACGCTGGGCTTGGACTGCGGTGTGAACACCCTCTGGTGGACCTCTCTCTGTGTCTCTATACGTTGAAGAAGAAATAGATCTTATTTTTGTTTTTAACTTTTTTTTTTTTTTTTACGTTTTTGCCATAGGGCACATGTGCTCACTGGAGAGAGGCAGAGACAGAGATATGAGAAATTGCCCCTAGGGGGAAGCCAGGTTGCAATCCCTTCTCCTCCGTTCTTCTCTCGGGATCTTATGATCTTCCAGCTGCTGAGTCAGAGACTCGAACAGTGGTGGGCCATGTGGGAGTCCAGTGCCTTAACCACCATGCCACCTGCTGGTCCCACGAAATAAACTTTAAAATGAATAGTACTTAAGAGGATAATATCCATGTGTCTTCAAAAAAGTTCATGAAAAATGTGTATTATAAAAAAAAAATGCATATTTTTAAAAAAATTTGCACCAAAATAAACTCAGTAATTTCATTTCTCTATGAACTTTGTGAAGACCCTTCAAATTTAAGACATTTCCAATCATTCTGTCCCTAAAACAGGCACAGAGACAATGTTTAGAAGA